AAGACTTTTGTGTCACCGACCACTTCTTTATATTAAATTCCAATCTGACGTAAAATAACCAAAACGAAGAAAAAAAAATCAGGCATCTTAATGAAAAATATGACTGCAGGTTTAATGCATCTCTGTGTTGGTTTCATTGTACGGAACCAAATGGCCACTTCCATCTTTATACAGAGGAAGTAAAAGTCGGTAATCCCGTGCACCACTTTAGTTTTCTTAAGTTCGTACATACACCAACACATAAATGACAACGCATACTTTTTAATTTCATACAACACACTCATGGCTTATTTAGCATTTGTTGAGGTACACGAGTTCTTTTTGTAGTGTGCATTGAATTAACTTTTGCATGATTAACATTATGTTTAAGTTGTACTGATTCTTTTGGTTTTACTGGTGCTGAGGTCACCAGGCTGTCCTGTAGTTTCCAAACACAACTATGCATTTTAGTTGTTTATATATATATATAAATCTATTGCAGGTCTTTGGGAAATATGAAAAAAAAAATCTGCCAGGTCAAAAATATATATACAGCAATCTTAATGTTTGGTTAAATGTCTTTTTTTGTTATTTTCACATCAACTAAGCACTTGTGGCAGCCATCTACAAGCTTCTGGTTGACAGAATTGATGCAGTTAAGCTAAATTTGTTGACTTTCTTTCTTCACAATTTGTTCTCTTTGTCACAGTGCTCTGACTCTTGATGGGGTTTAGGTCAGGACTTTGGTAAGACCAGTGTAAAACCTTAGTTCTAGCCTGATTTAGCCATTTCTTTTCCCACTTTTAATGTGTGTTTGGGGTCATTGTCCTGTGAGAACAATCAGCTGAATCCAAGATCCAACCCTCTGGCTGATGATTTAGGTTTTCCCAAAGAATGTGGAGGTACTGCTCCTCCTTTTTATTCCATTTACTTTGTGTAAGTCACACCTAAAGAGCATAATCCTGCCACCACCATGCTTGACAGTAGGTTTGGTGTTCTTGGGGTTAACGGCCTCATCTTCTCTCCTCCAAACATATTTCTGCTCATTGTGGCCAAATAGCATGTTCTATGTTTTCATCTGACCACTGAACTTTCCTCTAGAAGTCTTTTCTTTGTTCATTTGATCAACAGCAACGTTTAGGGGAGCCTTAAGTTGCCGTTTCAAAGGGAAGGTCTTCCNGTCAGCGTGTGCGTGTGCGCGTAAGCTTCTTATGTGAACGAATAAATCTGCCCTGACTCATCCAGACCTGCTGGGATGGAGACACCCAAACCTACACACACACACACACACACACACACACACACAATCTGTCCCAAACTGTCATGGTAAAACCGGTGATATCAGGGCAAAAAATAGGACAGTGTCAAAACTGGTGCCAGAGGGGGGAGAAAAAAAAAAAGATTACAAGTGAGCGTTATGTAACGTAAGGCATTAGCAGCAAACGTTATCACCGGGAGATAACGTCAGCTTCATCAAATCAGGCACATAAAACGGGTTAGTTACGCGCTACTAACAATCAGACAGGAGCGACTGGTTCCGACTGTCAGACAGCCAAGCACCCACACAGAGCAAAATAAAAGACCACTTGTTGATGCATAACGTCAGGTTAGTTTCGTTACCGTCAACACAAGCCGGGCAATCGTTTCCCGGTTAGTTAACGACACAGCTCCCGGTGGTTTTGGTCGTGTTTAGCGTGTGTGAAATCATTCGAGGAGCAACAAAAAAAAAAAGAACAACAACAACAACAAGGCACTGACGTTATTTTGCTAACTGTAAGTTAGCTGTTAGCTAGCTTGGTGTTAGCTCGCCTGCTAACATTACCTCTCTCGAAGAGCCCGCGGATTTTCTTTGTCGTCGAACCGCGACCAAATATTCCCAAAACATCTCCGGAAAGCTTTCTATGGCTCCATCGCTCGGGAAACAAGTTTCAAACACAGTGTCAAACAAATGCCGGAACAGAAAATACATTAAACTGCAGCTGGCTTCCACTGACGGTATATCCTTTGCTTTGAACAGGAAATAATGCTGCGTTCACGGTCCCTCGTACATTTCAACATCAAGAACTTTCGGCTTTCAAGAACAGGTGGGTGTTAGTAGTATTTTTTTTTCTAATGTTAAAAAAAAGCAGAAAGTTTAACTTGAAAAACCCAAGCGAGAAAATACGACATAGCTATTTTCTAGTATTGCTAGTATTATTTCACCCGCAACATTTATAATCTGCAGAAAGCTCATGCAGTATTTGTGATCTCTAGTGTTTTGCTCCGTTCGTGCAGCTTGCAGGTTCCTCTGGCCTAAACATTACATTTAGTGAAATCCTGTAAAAATAAATACATAAAATTAAAAAATTAAAAAATCGGTTATTTGTTTTGCTGCTGTGTAATTAAAAAATCCTACGCTGCTTGGAACACTAAAACGTATCATTCAACCCCCGCTGAGATCACTTCCTCTCTTGTTGTGTTTATTATGTTGTTTCTGCTTTACATCACAGTTACACATTTAGTTCACACACAAACAGCAGTGTGGTGTCTTTACTCCAGACTGCGGTTTATGGTGTCATAGTGTTAGTTGACTACAAACTGGAAGTCAGAGTCAAGTCTGGCCAGAAATCCAGACAGACGCCTCATAACTTGTGCTAAAATAGAACCTACAAGTTTTATGTTGTTATAAAATTATGCAAATTCATAAATAGTTCCAGCTGGATGACCAAAATGCATTCAACACCTTAACCCACCTTAACCATACGTGATAATGATAATAATAATCATCATTATCATAACTGGTGAGTACAGTTTACATCCTCCCTCGGCTGATGCTGCTGCGGCCTGTGAACTCATCCATAGTTCAGTGTCCCAGCTGCAAACATCACACCCTCAGTCTGTGATCGTCATCTCAGGAGACTTTAATCATACATGGCTCTCTACCGCTCTCCCCACATTCAGCCAGCATGTGGACGGCCCAACCGGAGACGGTGGGCCTTGGACCTGCTGTGTGCAGACACAGGGATGCATATTACTTCATTATTGTTATTTCCTTGTACTTTCTATATTTCTGGATGCTGCTGTGGCGTGTACATTTCCCCAAATGGGGGATCAATGAAAAGGTATTCTATTCTATTCTATATTTTATTTTACCACCATTATAATCATAATAGTCTTCATAATAATAATAATTTTCTTATGTGACATCTTTTAGAACATTTGTAGACTTCTTACAGGACATCAGGCATAAGACAGTAATAAAGCAATAAGTAAGCAATAACCTAAAATGACATTGTTGATTACCAGTATAAGGGCAGTGAGTGTGCTATTCCCAACAAAAGTGCTTTGATGGCAATAAAAAGCAGAACAATGCCGTCTGTGCTGCCTTCCCTCCTCCATCTCCAGAGGACAGTCAAATTTGCAGAAACAAAACCGCAGTTATAACCTTTATTGCCTGCAGGAGGCTCAAGTGTTGTACGAGCTCGCTTTGCTCATACAGCAGCTACTTTCTCTGTATTACATTTAAAGCTTGTTTTACCTGTTTGTTAAAGTCATTGTCGGGGGCACCAGAGTTATTCTGGACTCTAATCTCATCCTCACAACACACAGTCCACAGATCTGAAACTGAGAAGGACAGAAATGTTGTTTCCATGATCACAGGTTTTCTAACTTGCATGTCACTGATATTAGTTTTTCATATTTTTAAGATGAAATATTTTATGTCTCAATTTAATAATAATGCAGATGCTGAGAAGTTCTCTAAAGTAACTGTAAAATCTAATATCTAATCTTTACAGACATAATGATTGTACTAACTGTATGTTTTCAGATTAACCACAAAGTGGCAGCACATGACAGCCGTGGCTCATTATCATCAACCAGGCATCAGTAACAGCTCATTATACACATTAACTTGTTGTTATCTGGTGAGATCGCAGAGCAAGCATAAAGCTAAACTGAGCCTAAATACATTTTTAATGACAGGAATTGAATAATACAGTGAATCCATACAACTCAGATGGTAATGTTGCATGTGTATGTATACAACATATAAAATACTGACACATCTTTAAATTAAACTAGAAAAGGGCTGCACAAAATACCCCCACATTACAACAAAGAAATGCGATCATTTCACGACAATAAATAAATCTGAGTACCAGCACCAACAGGATTCTGACATACAGCCAAAAACATTGGGACTATCCAGCCCTTAATGTGAAGCAGCCAAAGACCAGAAAGTGATTATTTACTGAGTGATGGTGGACTGACTTGATGGTTAAGTGACGAAGGAGAAATCTGCTCTTTAATCCCCTGATTAACTTTCTGCACGTTTATCATACATTTACATTTCATATAGATGATGTGTTTATGATGGAAACCAGCACTTCAGTAGCTTTTTTTTTTTTTTTTGAGAAATTACAGAATCCACTGCAATCTGTTTGGGTAAAACATTCAGTCCTGGTGAGATTATTTCATGTAGAGCTAGATTTTAGAAGAAGACTTTTGTGTCACCGACCACTTCTTTATATTAAATTCCAATCTGACGTAAAATAACCAAAACGAAGAAAAATAAATAAATCAGGCATCTTAATGAAAAATCTGACTGCAGGTTTAATGCATCTCTGTGTTGGCTTCATTTTACAGAACCAAATGCACTATTGGTGCAGTTAAGCTAAATTTGTTGGCTGTCTTTCTTCACAATTTATTCTCTTTGTCACAGTGCTCTGACTCTTGATGGAGTTTAAGTCAGGACTTCAGGAAGGCAAGTCTAAAACCTTAGTTCTAGCCTGATTTAGCTCTTTTTCCACTTTTAATGTGTGTTTGGGGTCATTGTCCTGTGAGAACACCCAGCTGAATCCAAGATCCAACCCTCTGGTGGATGATTTAGGTTTTCCCAAAGAATGTGGAGATACTCCTCCTTCTTTTTATTCCATTTACTTTGTGTAAATCACACCTAAAGAGCATAATCCTGCCACCACCATGCTTGACAGTAGGTTTGGTGTTCTTGGGGTTAACGGCCTCACCTTCTCTCCTCCAAACATATATCTGCTCATTGTGGCCAAATAGCATATTCTATGTTTTCATCTGACCACAGAACTTTCCTCTAGAAGTCTTTTCTTTGTTCATTTAATCAGCAGCAACGTTTAGGGGAGCCTTAAGTTGCCGTTTCAAAGGGAAGGTCTTCCTTCTCGCATGGCAGCTTTGAACTTCACTGTGGACACTGACATCAGTGTTCCAGCAGCTTCTAGTTCACTGCAGACCTGCTTTTTGGTGATTCTTGGTTGACTCTTGACAATCAACTGTCTCTCAACAGCAGGTGAACCAGGCACTCTGTACTTACAGTTTGTCTGCACAGATGATTTGGAGATCTAAATATCTGGGTCTTTGAAACAGCTCTCAGTGACTTTCCTGACTTGTTCAAGTCAATTATTCGCTTCCTCGTATCTGTATTTAGCCCCTTGACTTTCCCATTGTAGTCTGATGACTGTGTCCAGTGGGCTCTATTTAAATTGGCTCAGAGAAGTCAGCAGCTGTAGTCAATTGTAAAGACTTACAAGAAGTTATGAAGCTAAGAGAAACTGATTAAGACAACTTTCTTTATCACCCAAAGCTGAAAATTCAAGTGGCTGCAAGTACATTTTTAAACCAGCAGAGTTTGATGTATCTCCACAAGACCTACAATAAATCAACAAAAGAACCAAAATACACGATTGTTTTTGTGACAAAGTGTGTGTAGTATGCCTTGTATTCTCTATTTCATTATATTTTTTCAGGCATTATGATTTCTCTCATATAACACAGAGTCATCTCATCCATTAAAAATATTAAAAATTAGCAATGAGTGCTGCTCTTCTGATGCATTGATGAATCCAGTGTAGTTTCCAGCTACATGGGGTGAAAATTGAAAGAGGTTTTTAAAAAAACAAAGTAGACAAATGATCTCATAAATACACAACAAAAGTTTCTTGTTTATAATAAATATCTTCAAGCTATCCATTGAAAGGGAATGCTGAACTTGTTTCTCTGACCTTTAGCTTTAGGAGGGAAACGTTCCTGTCACACATCCTAAACAAAGTAGATGTGCAGCTTTGTAAAGGCCTTACTGTTCCTCTTTAACACAGTACAGTGCTGTGTCCTATAGTAACCTCTGGACAAGACTGTTGTCAGCCACTCTTGTTACAGTACGGCTTGTGGCCACATTTCATTTCTGTACGGGCAGTCCCTTCTTCCTTCTGTCTTCCTGTTTGGGCCCAGTTTCTTTTCAGAAGCCTGCCTACAGTTTTAGGAATCAAAATGGCTTAACAGGAGTCAGATGAGCATTTTTTTTTTTTTTTGCATTGTGCAATGCTACGTATGCAACAGCACGAATGAGCCGAGCAGGAAAGGAGGCAACTCGGATGCTTTTGCTTTGAAGCTGGGCCCAGCTTCCTCTGCGAGCTCCCTCCCAGCCAAACACAACTGGAAAGCACCGACAGGCAGAAATTCCAACATGATATGCGTGCAGATACAGCTGCTGCTTCCTCTCTGCTTAACAGAGGACTGAACTAAGAGATACTGCGCCACACTGCAGCAGTCAGATCATTATTGGAAAGTGAATACAGGATTGAAACCTGCCTGCAGCTTTTCTTTTTTTTCATCCAGTGACTCGCTGGAGTGGCCTTGATGTGGTTATCCTGCCACCCACTCTGTGCTGTAATCCCTGCTGTCATTCAGAGCTGCAGAAAATTCAGATCCGTGTCATCTCAATGAGACAGACTCTGGTGTTAGTAGAGAGCAGGTGACTAGAGAAGCACAGGCCGATCCCTCATGACAGCAACGCTCACTGATGTCTGGAGATGTTCAGTCACAGACTTCCTGGCTCATGTTGCTGTGTGTCTGCATTCACTATTGTCGTAGTATTTCTGCACGCAAACAGCATTATAACTGCATTATTCATGTACTGTATTCCTTTATATAGTCAACATAAAGTTTTTATGTTTGGCCTGCTTTAATCATTATTTTATATTTACAGTGGCTCAGAAAAACAAAC